TAAATCATCCTGTAAATCATCCTCTAAATCATCCTGTAAATCATCCTCTAAAATAAATTATCCTGTAAATCATCCTCTATATCATCCTGTAAATCATCCTGTAAATCATCCTGTAAATAATCCTCTAAAATAAATCATCCTGTAAATCATCCTGTATATCATCCTCTAAAATAAATTATCCTGTAAATCATCCTCTAAAATAAATCATCCTGTAAATCATCCTCTAAAATAAATTATCATGTAAATCATCCTCTAAATCATCCTGTAAATCATCCTCTAAAATAAATGATCCTGTAAATCATCCTCTAAAATAAATGATCCTGTAAATCATCCTCTAAAATAAATCATCCTGTAAATCATCCTCTAAATCATCCTGTAAATAATCCTCTAAAATAAATCATCCTGTAAAGCATCCTGTAAATAATCCTCTAAAATAAATCATCCTGTAAATCATCCTCTAAAATAAATCATCCTGTAAATAATCCTCTAAAATAAATCATCCTGTAAATCATCCTCTAAAATAAATCATCCTCTAAAATAAATTATCCTGTAAATCGTCCTGTAAATCATCTTCTAAATCATCCTGTAAATCATCCTGTAAATCATCTTCTAAATCATCCTGTAAATCATCCTCTAAAAAATCATCCTGTAAATCATCCTCTAAAATAAATTATCCTGTAAATCGTCCTGTAAATCATCTACTGGTACAAAATATATTTAGTGTGCTCTTTGAAGCGTTTCTTCTTCGTGCACAGTCGCTGTTGTTCATGGAGTGTGATGATGTCATCAGGTGTTCCAGGAGCTGGGCGTGTCTGTTCTGTCCGGAGCGACTGGCGGCTACAACGTGTGCCTGTTCGCCTACGGCCAAACAGGATCTGGGAAGACGTACACCATGATGGGCACACCGGTGAGAAATGAGACCAAATCACTGCACGCTTTTGTTGTGTCAGGGTTTCACTCCTTTTTACTCCTCTTGATCAGTCGTAGTTGAACCCACATGCAGCAGCACACGGAGGTTAAAGTAAATTATTTAAACAACACAAACAACAGCTGACGTGGCTTCAAAACTTACATTTAACGGTGAGACGACTCAGAGGGAGGACCATCCTCAGACAGAATAGAAAAACGCACGAACGTGGAGATGAACACAAACACCTGGGGAACAGGTGGTGGAGGAGGAGCTGATTACATGGAGGAGAAACAGTGAGGAGCAGGAGAAGGACTAGAGGGAGACACACACACACACACACACACACACACACACACACACACACACACA